AGTAGGTCAACTAAGACTTTATATTCTATCTGTCTATACACTGGTACTTGTCATATATGAATTTTTGGTAATAAATTCAAAGTGGTTGGGAATGTGATATATAGAAAGTTTTTATTGTGTGAAATATGTTTGAAAATGATAATTGATGGGAAAATAAGGGAATCAGTTAGAAGGGGAGTGAAAAATTGAGAGAGCACAAGATCAGGTTTCTGCAAGGTGATTCTGTTGCTGGATTCAATTTTTCATAAAAGCTTGATCTTGTTACCTAAAGCTATATGTTTCTACTTTATTGATTCTTCTTGAATATTTTGGTTTCAGGCTTTATCTGTTTTGAGTGAGGTTGTTAGGCAGGCACCACTTGTGGCTGACTCATACCATACACTTGGACTTGTTCATAGAGCACTTGGCAATACTGAAAGGGCCATGAAATTTTATAGGATTGCTGCATTTCTGAGACCGAAAGATTCATCTCTGTGGAAACTACTTTTTAGCTGGCACATGTAAGCTTTTTAAAATTTGACATTATCATTAAATGTGGCATGGCCTTTTGAAATTGATATGACCAATATATTTTCTTGATGGTGTTCTTACTACATTGCGGTAAACTGAATTCAATTGATAGATATATGCTTGTTGTAGATCACTGCTCTTAAGCTTTGCCAATTTGCACCTCATTTGGCTTATCCAGAATTCTGGATGGCAGTGTGAGTTTTAGTTTCCAGACTGTACTCGCTGCTGCTTGGTAATTTTGCCAAGTTCAAATATTCAGGCTGTACTTGCTGCACCTTATTCAGCTTACCAGGAATTCCGGATGGCAGTAGGTTTATTTCTAGAAAGAACTTGCTGCTAGTTGGTAATTTTGCCAAGTTCAAATTTTGATGGGTACATGTAGCTATTGAGAATCCTTGTTTGCTGATTTGAACTTGAATCCACAAATAACTTAAATTAATTGAAAGAATTTCCTGTAAGAATCTATACTGAATTAAGTAGTCTTTGCTATTTTGTTTCAGAAAATATATAATCATCTTTATGACATGATTGGTGATGTTTGTGGGCTAAATGTTCTGTGTCGTAGTTAACATGGGAACAGGACTGTCTAATCTCTTTATCCATGATCAAATACCATATTCTTTTTATGAAAAATAATCTGGTGCTCACTTGCTTGTACAGTTAGCGAAAACTATTTGTACAGAAATATTATAATAGTAAAAGCAAAAACTTACTAGATCCATTGAGGCTCAGTCCCCATAGAAGTCAGTGGAGACTATTTATGTGTATTAAGGTAGTGAAGAGCACTGGCCAGAAATCATTTCCTTTTCACTATTTATCTTATTACTGTAGGTCACAAAAGCACCTGAATATCTGTTTCCTCAAACATTCCACAGATAGCCTTGGAGCAGAGTCTTATAGATTCAATCATCATTTAAAACATCAAGGATAAGCTGTAAAATTAACCAAATTTGGTTTCTTCTTATTATGGTTGTTGAATAAATTGCAGAGAACAACGAGACATAGCTCGAGCATGGAAGTGCCTTTCTAAAGCAATAAGTGCTGATCCTGATGATATTAGTCTAAGATCCCTTCATGCATTATTTTATGATGAACTTGGAGATCATCAAAGAGCTGCTGAGTCCTATGAACAAATAGTTCGAATCTGTCCTGAGGATGTTGAAGCAATAAAGACAGCTGCAAAGGTTTTCTTTCAGCTTTGGTCATAAACCCTTATTCGATATAATTATGTTTACCTACTATAGCATGAAATTGTAATCTGATTAGTCTCCTTTTTTTATTTGTTTTGTTTAATTAGCTATAGCAATGTGATAACCCTTGAGCCCTAGCTCTTTGTAATAAGGTCATTAGAGCAGGTTTTGAATATTAACAATCAACAGGAAAGAACAATAAGGGCTAGACTACCTTATTGAAAGATTGTTATAGTGCATACTGCCTATCTAATGTTATTTTTCTTGGGGGGCCACATTGAAAAGACATAATGGGTTCTCATGGAATAATTGGAGAAGGAATTAAGATAGATGTTTTGGTTTCACTACAAATTACTTAGATCTGTGTTAATGCAGAACCAATCTGAGAGGGTAAAGAAGTTTATCACAGTTGTCTAAGTTTGATGTGGTGGCCCAGTGAAACTTCATTTATTCAAGCATAGTTAGGTTTTTAATTTTTTTTTTTTTAATGTTTTTTGGCTTTGAAAATTACTTTTGTCTATCGATAATTAGGTTCCATGTGGCCAAATGTAAACAGGTTTGGTTGTGAGAACAGCTACTTTATGTAAAAATTTTGATGTTTGAGGTTTCATTTGTTTCCCTCACCCTTGTTTGAAAAAATGGCTCGTTGCATACATCTTCAGACATTCAGCTTGGAACACAACAAAAATTTTGTACTCACAAAATAATCAATTGTAGAGCTGATAACAAATACCTATTAATGATACTCTTCGGTGATTTTACCAGCAGCCTGTGTCAATTACTGTGTTTGTGGGCTATTTGTTGATAATAGTGGTCATCAGTGGTTAATGCTGCACCAATAAAAGTTGCCAATGTGCTATGGTGGTTGCCTAGAAGGCTCCAACTGGTTACAGTTACTGGTAAACTTTGTTCGCAAGCACTAGCAGTTGCTATAAACTGCTGATGGGTGTTGATGTACAGACAAATTGAGTTTCTGGAATTGGCTTAGTTTTTACTTGCACAGTATTTCCCTGGATTGGAAATGTAGAAACATGTCCATGTAAAAGGAGTGGCTTTGGGTGTTTCCTCTTGGGATCATGCATTGATGGGTCCAAGACTGTATTTCTGCAGTATTTTCTTTTTCCAGTTCTGTATTTTTATTTGTCTATTTTCTTTTCTGTGAAAACTTTTTATGAACAGCATAGCTTGTCTCATTATTTGTGTAGTAGTTTTTGTAGTCAGTTTTTAGCTCATTTGCTCCTTTCTTTCTGTTCAGATGTACCTCAATTGCGGTCAGATTAAACGAAGCATAGGCATTTTGGAAGATTATCTCAAAGGTCATCCATCTGAAGCTGATTTAAGTGTGATCAATCTGCTGGCTGATGTATTCATGGAAATTGATGCACATAATAATGCTCTTCAGCATATTGAGCATGCTCAGCTGGTCTACTATCCGGGAAAAGAACTGCCTTTGGAATTAAAGATTAAAGCAGGAATCTGTCATGTTTTCCTTGGTAATATTGAGAAGGCAGAGGTTTGTTACTTTGAAACATCAGATGCTGAATTCTTTCATTCCAGTCTCAAACCCTTTAATCCATTATTCTCCAAACTCTGTCACACCTCAAGGCATCTTTTGGCAGATAACTGGATTTCCCCTGTCAATCTGTGTTTGCTAATTTTTACTTTTTTAATCTATTGTTTCTTTTTAACCAGTCATTGCATTTATCTGGTAAAGCTCAACTATGGAAACCTATTAAAATCTTCACCTATTTGGAATCTAGAATTATACAAATTTTTTGTACCTTGGAAGATTTAGGGTCCATTTGTTTGGCATAAATACTTCAAGTTCCAAGAGGATACTGACAGTTTTTCAGAACATATCAACAGTGATTTGAAATTCTTATTAAAGAATTATTCATAAAGATATATGAATTTACATTCAGTTAACTTGATGAAATCTTCTTGTTAAATCTCTACCAATCTTTTATGCTAATTTTCTAAACATCTGTTTTCATTTTATTTTTTATTTTTTTTTGGTATCATATTTAAGAGAGAGCTGCAAAATACAGTTTTAAGAATTTGGCAATTGAAGCCATTTAGGTATCTAGTTAGTTATTTAGGTCCTGTTAGAAAGAAATAGGCACTTTGAAGGCCTTGCTAACTTGTTTTAGTTCCACCACAGAAACTATTTGATTTGCTTATGTATTTATATATCTATAACGTGAAAGACATTTTTACAATATTTTGCATTTTTACCACATTTAATTACATCAATCCTTATATGACCACTTTAATCAAGTTGGCTCTGATTTTAGTTTTAATGGTTTGGGGCATACATATTCTTCTTGCTACTGATTCTTTTTGCTTGTTTTTTAGATTCAATTTAGTGCGCTACAACAGGAGAATTTTTCTGTTCATCCTGAATTGATTACGAAAGTTGCTGATGCTTTTATGAGTACTGAGCGTTTTCACTCTGCATTAAAGTATTATCATATGCTGGAGTCGAATGTTGGAGCTGACAAAGTAAGGGGAACTTCTAAAAAATCATCTATATTTGATTTGCTTAGAAAAATTGTGCATAACTTTCAAGTACATGCCATTTTTGCTTTCATTTTAATTTAGTTTTGTAGATACTTGTGATCATTTTAAAGCACAACATATGCTTAGGTTGATCTTAGTTAAGAGAGCTTGTTTTGTAACCAAATGAATGCTCTCATGACCACAATTAAACAGAACACATAAACGAACTAGTAAATTGATGCAGGAGCTTTCTCTAGGATTTATTTTATTATATATCTGATATTAGGTTTACTTAATTAATCTAGGGTCATCTGATTAGCATGTGACTTTTGAACGTATTTTCTTTATAGGCTTAGTAGTTTTTCTTGGGGACTAAGACTAGGAATCCTTTTCCTACAAGGATATAGAGCTTAAACTAATATAAATAGGCTGGTAGGGTTACTTTTGTAGTAGTTTTTTTGTTATTTTATCAATCTATTCTGATTCTAGAGGATTCTTATGAACCCCAAATTCTATGATCTTGTTCCAACTTCAATTTTATTCTAATTTTAGCCACTATTCTACTGTGATTCTGTTTCCTACTGTTTTGCTCGTCCCAAACTATGTCAAATTGGTATCAAAGCAAAAGGATCCTCAAGATTGTGTTAGGGTTCAATCTTTTGACCATGGTTGGATGTGTTAGAGGCTGTAGATGGAGAAATCAAGATTGACAAGCAATTTTGTTTTGAGATAAGTTGTATAATTGAATGCTTGTTGCGCGCTATTGACGCTATGCAATAAAAGGAACTAGTAGGAGCCTGAATGGAGATTCCAGAAGGTGACCACAACCCCTTAGACATACCGGAAGGTGGTCGTAAGGATGAAGGCTCCTTTTATGATGCTGGAGCTGTAAATCACATGGTGTGTCATGGATTGGAAGAGAGGAACAACACTGCACTTCAGTGGAGGAAGAGAGTTGAAGGGCAGCAAACACGAGACACTCTGGAGAAAGAAGTGGTTATGGGTTGGAATTCTTTGTCCATCTATAATGAAATAGATATGGATTGGATTCTCCACCAATCCATGATATTTATTACGATGACGCTTATGATGATAATAAACTCATCAACAGTGACAGTGATTGCAGTGACGTTGTCATCAATGATGACCTCATTGAAAAGGTAGAAGTTGAGTGCAAAGAGATTGTGGGAGTTTCTCAACGAAAGAAATTTGTTGATTTAGGCTGTTTTGATCCTTTTGATTACGAGTGATATTATCACAAATTTAGAATTGCTCAAGGATTATATGGATACAACACATGTTGATGAAGCAAGTTTGAGGTTTGCAATTCATTGCTCCAGAAGTCAATGGAAGAGAAATAAGTTGCTAATTGATTTTTCTTATGCAAAATTTAACATGGAGGAACTGATGCTGGTATCTAGAATTGTTATAGACCTGAACTGAATAAAGAAAAGGGGTTGGAGAGTCTTTATTGGACATCCATGAGATCGAGGCAAGAATTGTTCAACTCGACTACGAGTTTCTTCCAACCTCGGGGAGAATTACACGGGAGCTTTCTTAGGATTTGTTTTATTATATTTTTGATATTAGGGCTACTTAATTAATCTAGGGTCATATGATTAGCACGTGACTTTTTAAAGTATTTCTTTTATAGGCTAGGTAGTTTTACTTGGGGGCTAAGACTAGGAATCCTTTTCCTACAAGAATATAAGGCTTAAACTAATATAAATAGGTTGCTAGGATTATTTTTGTAGTATTATTATTATTATTATTATTATTATTATTGGTTATTTTATCAATCTATTCAGATTCTAGAAGTTTCTTATGAACCCTAAATTCTATTATCTTGTTCCAACTTCAATTTTATCCTAATTTTAGCCACCATTCTGCTGTGATTTCTGTTTCCTACTGTTTTCCTCTTCCCACACTATGTCATAAACACATTTTCTATATGTAAAATGTTATTCTCTATACTCTTTAAAACAAAAATATAAGAAGAAAAAACACAAAGTTTAATGTGGTTCGATCATGAAGACCTACATCCACGGGAGAGAGGTTTCAACTCTTTATTTCTGTCATACCAAATACAGCGACGAGCAGGTTCCTTTTATAGTAGCCATATACACCGGAATAGGAAGCCACAATTTAGGAAAATTAGAATAGGAAATTAGGGCCATATTTCCTCTTGATTTTCCGTGATTACGGTGATTGATTTCTTCCTAAATAGGAAGATTCCGTTCCTCCTAAATTGGAGGCATATTTTCCACTCTCCCCCTCAAGTTCGGTGAATAGATATTGGTCATTCCTAACTTGCTAAGACGAGATATCAAAACTTGATTTACGAAGAGCTTTTGTTAGAATATCGGCTTCCCGAGATTTGGTAGGGACATAGGATAGAACAATAGTTTCATTGTCTATCTCATTTTTTATAAAATTTCGTCAATCCTCACATGTTTCATTCGATCATGTTGGACTCGGATTGTGAACAACACCGATAGCTGATTTGCTTGTCATTGAACGACTTCATAGGGCTTGTTTCGGCATGTTTAGGTCTGTCATTAACTTTTGAATCCAAATAAGTTCACGAGTTCCTTGAGCTATAGCTCCATACTCGGCTTCGCATTACTCCGAGCCACCACAGATTGTTTCTTGCTTCTCCAAGTCACTAGATTTCCCCATACCTTGGTACAATATCCGGTTGTTGACTTGCTATCATCAATACCTCCCGCCCAATCTACATCCGAAAAGCCAACAACATCTCTAGCTTCATTTTTCTTAAACGACGGACCTTTGCCAGGACTCCCCTTCAAATATCTCGGAATCTGATTTCGTCGCTTTCATATGCCTCTTAGTGGGAGCATGCATAAATTGACTTATTATACTTACACTAAAGGCAATGTCCGGTCTTGTGAGTGATAAATAAATCGGTTTTCCTACCAAGTGTTGATACCTTTCTCTATCTGCTGGGGATCATCATCCGATACTTTGTGCTTCCGGTGTCTTTCCAAAGGTGTATTAGAAGGCTTACAACCAAGCTTTCCTGTCTCCTTGAGTAAATCTAGTGTGTACTTCCTTTGTGAAATGAAAATTCCTTTGCGACTCCTTGCGACTTCCATCCCTAAAAAGTATTTCGGTTCTCCTAGATCTTTTACCATGAACTCTGCCTGAACTCTTTTCTTGAGATTGCTAATTTCCACTTCATCATCACATGTGATCACCATATCATCAACATATACAATGAGTATAGCTTGTTTACCCGACTCACTTCTCTTCACAAATAATGTGTGATCTCGCTTGTCCTTGGTGGTACCCAAGACTCTTCATCACAGTGCTAAATCTTGTAAACCAAGCTCTAGGAGATTGTTTCAAGCCATACAATGATTTTTTCAATTTATAGACCTTGTTTACTTCTCCTTCTTTCTCGAATCCTGGGGGATACTTAATATACACCTCTTCCTCTAGTGTACCATTAAGGAATGCATTCTTCACATCTAATTAATGTAATCTCCAATCCAGATTGGCGACGATAGACAATAGGATTCGGATAGTGTTGAGTTTGGCAATTGGTGCAAAAGTTTCTTCATAATCAATTCCATAGGTCCGAGTGAAGCCTTGTGCTATGAGTCTTGCCTTCAACCGATCCACTTTTCCATCGAGTTTATATTTTACTGTAAAAACCCACTTACTTCCGACTACTTTCTTCCCTTCGGTAGTTGCACCATTTCCCAAGTATCATTGTCCGTTAATGCCTTCATTTCTTCCAACACGGCTTCTTTCCAATTAGGATTTCGAAGAGCCTCATCAATATTTTTAGGAACTTGTATTTCATCAATATGAGCAATGAAGGCCTTAAAATCTCCCGAAAGCTTAGAGTATGCAACATAATTTGAGATAGGATATTTAGGAGCTTTAGTACGGGTTCATGCCCCTTTCCTTAAAGCAATTGGAAGATCCAAATCATAAGGTTGTTCACCACCCGACCCATCCTCTTTGTCATTGCTTGTTGCTAGAATCGCCACTCGGTTCAAACTCATGGGTTTGCATTGGAGCTCGTGGTCTCCTAGAATAGACTTGAATCGGTTTTTGATCAACATTATTCAACTCTCCCCCTTGACCAAGATCGGACCCTCCCCTTGATCGGTTCCATTGGGCTCGGATATAGAAACCATTGGGTGTGTAATTGAAGGAAAAATTACCGAAAAGGTGGGATCCCAATGTTTATCTCCTTGAGTATCATTCTCCCCTTAGAGATAAACTTGGGAGTAGAAAGGCTGATTCTCTAGAAATGTCACATCACAAGAAATAAAGACACGTTTGGTAGGTGGATGATAACATTTATAACCCTTTTGAGTGGGAGAATAACCAAGAAAAACACATTTTAGGGCTTTTGGATCTAGTTTGCCTCGATTAGGTTGAAGGTTATGAATAAATACTACACACCCAAAAACTCGAGGTTGAAGAGTATTATGGACCCGTGAAGTAGGGAAGACGAGATAGTAAAATACTAAGGGGAGTTTGGTATTTGAGAACTTTTGAAAGAACACGATTGATTAAGAATGCAAGCTGTAAGGATCGCTTCCCCTCAAAAGTGATTTGGAACTCGACGTGCAAACATGATGGATCTAGCCACTTCTAAAAGATGATGATTTTTTCTTTCAGCAATTCCATTTTGTTGTGGGGTAGACACACATGAACTTTGATGAACAATCCCATTTTCTTGGAGATAGTCATTTAATTCATTAGGGTAATATTTTTTTGCATTGTCCGTTCGAAATATAAGAATGGATGATTGAAAGACATTTATAACAAGCTTATGAAATTGTTTGAAAATTCTTGTTACTTCGATTTTTCCTTCATTAGATAGACCCAGAGACACACGGGTATGATCATCAATAAAAGTAACAAACCATCGTTCCCCCGTAAAATTTTGTTTCCGTGATTGTCTCCATACATCACTATGAATTAAATGGAATGGTCTTGAAGGTTTGTAAGGATGGGGAGGATAGGATGCACGTGTTTGTTTGGCAAGGATGCAATGTTCACATTGAAAACATGAAGGATTTTTATTGAAAAATAAATGGGGATATAAATGTTTCAAATAATGAAAACTAGGATGACCCAATCTATTGTGCAATAACCGAACATCGAATTGGAAAACGCAAACAAAACACTAGATGACCTAGAGCTTGAGGAGAGTCCAACACACGAAACATAATAGAGACCATGTCGCTCCTCGGCATTCCTAATCGTCCTCCTCGATGACAAATCCTAAAATTCACAATGAGAGGGGGAAAATGTCACGAGCAATTCGAGTCCTTAGTAATTTTACCCATCGACAATAAATTACATTTTAATTCGGAACATAAAGCATAGATTTTAAATTCAGCCCATTTATGTCCAAGTCTCCCTTCCCTTTTGTTGTACATATAGTTCCATCTACCACTCGTAACTCCAAAATTCTCTCTACATGGTTTATAATTGCTCATCCTTGTATTTGAACCCGTCATATGGTCGAAGCCCCGAGTATCTACTATCCAAGAATCATATTTTGTCTTGTATGATGAAAAAGGAACTGTACCTTTATGAGTTGTTAGGGGTCGAGGAACCGAGTGGAATTAGAGGGAGCAGATTTGTATTCTTCCGTATTAGATTTCATCAATTTCTTGAGAATTTCTAATTGTTCAGTTGTAAACGGTTGAGGGTTTGCATCTACTTGTTGTTTCGACTAAATAGACAACCTTCTTCCTCCGATTTCTCGGCTTCCAATCTTTAGGTTTTCCATGGAGATTCCAGCTTGCATTCTTAGTGTGATATGGTCTTTTACAATGCTCACACCACACCCGCTTATCCTTCCCAAAATCAGCCCCCTTTGAACTGTTTTCCTCGCTTCGGTTTATCACCAAAGCTGATCCCTATACTGCTGCCTCTACTGTTGTATTTGGCAGTGGCAAATACATCACCTTCCTCCTTGTTTCTTCGCGCCGAACTTCAGCAAAGACCTCCTTTAATGAGGGTAATGGTTTTATACCAAGTATTCATCCCCTAACATCATCTAGTTCCTGATTTAAACCTTGCAAAAAATCAAAAATTCGGTCCTTTTCTAGCATTTTGCTATAGAGCACCCCATCATCGGCACATCTCCAAGATATGTTGTGAAACATATCAATTTCTTGCCACAATTCGACATGTTATTGAAATATTCAGTAACGGATGATGTACCTTGACGAATATTTCGAATTTTGGAACGAACCTCAAAACTTTGCGATATGTTCTCCAAATCTGAATACATATCTCTCATCGAATCCCATATTTCCTTTGCTGTTTGGTAGAATAAATACAACCGTCCGAGTTTTTGGTCCATAGAGTTGATTAGCCATGCCATGATCGTAGAATTTTCAGCCCCCCAAACTCCATAATCGGCGAACTCTAATGGTGGTACCTTCTTTGCCCCGATTAGATATCCCATCTTCCCTCTCGCCCTTGATCACTAGTAAAACCGATTGATACCTCCCTAAAATTACTCCCATTTAGTTTGTGAGAGGTGATTTGGATTGAGAACTTATCAATAGGATTGGGTAAAATTGAGGTTTGTGGGTTGACAACGGTAGGGATCCTAATTGATTCCTCTATAGTTGGGGTGGAGCTTGCCATCTATTCGGCTAAGGTTGGCTAGAGTTGGTTTGGTTCTTTGGCTAGAGGATAACCTGGCTCGATACCATAAAACAAAAATATAAGAAGAAAAAACACAAAGTTTAACGTGGTTCGGTCATGAAGACCTACATCTACAGGAGAAAGGTTTCAACTCTTTATTTCTGTCACACCAAATACAGCGATAGCGAGGTTCCTTTTATAGTAGCCATATACACCGGAATAGGAAGCCACAATTTAGGAAAATTAGAATAGGAAATTAGGGCCATATTTCTTCCCGATTTTCCGTGATTACGATGATTGATTTCTTCCTAAATAGGAAGATTCTGTTCCTCCTAAATTGGAGGCATATTTCCCACACTCTTGAACTGCTATTTTTGTTCATCTCCACTACTGTGTAAATGTGTACCATTCAATTACCAGTTTAGAGCCAATCTGATTATAGAACAACCTGCCAGCTTCTTTATGTGATTCATGCAACGGATAAGAAGTTAACCAAGTTTCCCTCGGAGATACAATTTTGAAAAAACTAAAAAATAAAAAGGAAGAAAAGATGAATTGAAAGGCAGAACTCCTTTCTACATGGCCACTCCAATTAGTCATTCTTGTCTTTGTTTAGCTTCATATGCAGTGGAATGCTTATTCCCATCCACAAAATGCACCATGTGGCTATATCATGAAAGTTTATGCAAGAATGATGAACTGGCTTCTCTCCTGTTCTTCTCACACTTCTGGTGGCAATTTTAGCACAGCTTTAAACCTGTTTTAATTACATACAAATGATTGAGAAATAAGAAAAGCATCTTTGAACATGCACATGTGCACACACACATTGTATGCAGATTTAATTGTTGATTCACATTTCTGTTGATCTTTATATTACATTTTGTCTAGGAGGGCGATTTACGTGTGAAAATTGCTCAGTGTTACTTATCTTTGAATGATCGAGTAAAAGCAATTATGTTCTTCTACAAAGGTAACATCACCTCGCAAGAATTACAGATTTTCTTTTTAGTGGAATTGTATTTCAGCATACCTTTTCTATCTCACCCCTTTCTTTCTTTCTTTATTCTCTCTCTCTCCCCCCCCCCCCCAAAAGACTTTCTGTGGTTGATAAAGCTTTGTTGTTTCAGTATGCTGTTTCTCTTGTGCTTCAACTAGGACTTTCAATGTTGAACTAGGTTGTGTGAACTGATTCAGAAAGATTTGAATCTATATTTCAAGATTGCTGCTTGATTTATGTGTCTGTGTTGTTTCATATATTTGGGATTAAATGTGTACAAGGGGAAGAGTTTTTCCTTTCTAGTTGTGCAGTGGCCAAGTTCCCTGCGAATTATAAATCTACCACATAAATAAATGTATAAACAAAGTCTGAAAGGACAAGATTCACTTGGTGGTAGAATGACGGAATTAATTGTCAGAATCAGCTGGTGAAGAAAGAGGGGGATATCATCTTCCTTGGAACAGTTTGTTAAAAAAATTCACATATCAGATTGCTGAAACTTTTAAAACGATTCACAGTTTATGCAGTTACTTTGATTTAGAAGGAACAACCTATAAAGAATTTTTATCTTGGAACCAACTGTTGGAAACTGAGTCATGCTTGATAGAAGATTCGAAGGCTCTGAAAAAGCCATGAGATGTTCAAAATGGTTGAAGGAGTTACGGAGGAAGATTCTGTATAAAAGGATGATGATTTATTTGATGTTATGGATGACTGGTTACAGAGGCACTGTTTTGTTTTTATATGTTAGTCCAGTCTTATTGCTCTTCCCTTGTGCATTCATTCCATGAACATTCTGGAACTTCATTGGTTCGGAAACATTTTTTACTCTAAACTTGAGGAGGGTCAAGAAGAACGTGTGACAGATATTTTAATGCTCAGTTCATGTTGAGGGATGTTATTTAATGAGTCAAAGTTACAATATATGTGAATGACAGATTGTTCCCTTCTAATTTTTGGTCACTTTCAAACAATTAAGCCCTTGTAATTCAATAGAATGTTGCATTGTTCACATTTTGTTATCCCAAATAAAGTCTAATATCCTTTGGAAACACTAGGAACCAATTGAAACTCAGTCCAAACTGATATGATCATAGTAATACTCGATAAAGCCAATGGCCTATATAATATTGTTTGTGATTTTCTCTTTGAATCTTTAGGAGTTAAACACTCCTAAAATAGCAGCTTTGAAAAGGTTACAAGAATGCAATTGTTCTCAAATCAGACCTATAAGCCATTACCAAACTAAAAGCTTTTAATTCATAATTTACCAGATTTTTAGTTCTAGCTGAAGATTATAGATGAAGATATGATAGTAAAAGCTTAAGCCATTGGTAAACTGTCAGCCTTCTTTGTTTACCCAATTTCATTGGAAAGTCAACGTTCCTTTAAGGTTGTCTGATTTCATTTGAAAAGTTAAAGTTTCTCTAAGGTTATGACATTTATGTGTAGAATTAATTTCAATAGAATCAACACCCACGATTTCTTCAGATGAGTAGACTTTCATTATCTCTTGCATTGTGTGCTTCAGTAGTGGGGAGATTCAAATTTCACACTTTTTGAGGCGTGAGGTTTGGAATTATGGACTTTTTTCCAACATGGGGAGAGAATTGAATTACTCAACAAGGGTCTAGTTCCTTATGACCAATCAAAAAGGGTTGGGAGAGGAAAAATAGCAAAAGGCTATGGAAGTATACCATCTTTGATGTCTTGGTGGTTGCATATGGAGGAAAAATTCAAGAAATTTCTAGACACAATCTCCATTGAAACATTTGTTTGGAATAGAGTTGTTGTCTTGGCTTTCATGGCAGTCCTTGTCAGAGGCTTTTAGTTTCTTATCCAAAATTTAAAGCAATTGGAGTCCACCAAAAATTTTGATAGCTGTCAGCAATGGTTTTGTATTTTTTTGGTTTCTTATTCGAAGGATGTCTCGTTCTGCTTCCTACAATTTCTTTTCATTTGTACCTTAGTTAATAAAATTTTCTGTCAAAATAATAATAATAAGTACAATCAACAAAGAATTAAGTAAATAGAAAATAAGCCAAATGTATCATTAAGGAAATGAAGGCTATATGATTTGAGAATGACGAGTTATGGTAATTGGAATGATTTTGCCTTCATGCAGCACAGGTGTGGAAGCACATACTAAAGAGTTAGTTGACTCATTGATTAAAGGGCTGAGAAATGGCGAAGGTGCACAAACAATGTCATTGGTTGAAGTTAAATGACTTCAACCATACAACAAAAATGGCCTTTGTACTCGGAGGGAATGTTAGTTGATATGAGTTTTGGGTCAAGGATTTTTGTGCTGATGTTTAATTAGGAGAATTTTCTCCATACCTTTCATGATGGCACAGTTCAATGCATTCTTTGGTAGTGGAATTTGCGTATATAATATATATTCAGATATTTGGCCTTTCATAATATCTCTTTTAAGTTGCACTCTTGGCAGTTAAGCAAGTTTTTTGGCTGATCAATGTCTCTTTTCAGCTTTGTCCATGCTAGAAGATAGCATTGATGCCCGGTTGGCTTTGGCGTCGCTCATCCTTGAAGACGCAAAAGAAGATGAGGCTATTTCTTTGCTTTCTCCTCCCAAAGATTTGGGTAACATTGTTCTGATAATTTTTTGTCTCTCCTTATTTCAAAATAGTTTACTTTTGGGAAAGCACTCATGATCTTTCTTTATCTCATGGTTTGTATATACAGATTTTATTAATTCAAATTCCAATATGGAAAAACCGTGGTGGCTTGATGGAAAAATAAAATTAAAGCTTTGCCACATATATAAAGCAAAGGGGATGCTTCAAGAGTTTGTTGATACAATCTTACCCTTGGTTCGTGAGTCACTTTATGTAAAGACCCTTCGTCCAAAGGTAATTGTAATGCCCTACTATATGTAAAAAACTTGTAATGTTAACTCTTTGTTCCTCTGACTCCTTTCTTCTAGATGTCTGAGTAAAATGTGATCCTGAGAGGATAATATAAATCTTCACAGAAGGTCCATCTTATCCTATCTTGGTCTTGATTCATCATCTGCACTCAGATGTTTAAACATATTTTTAATTGATAATTTTCTTATCAGTCACAGGGCAGTGTAAGTTGTCTTATCATTATTTTATGCTACATTAGCACTTCTACAGAATCTGACTTCATAACTCCTCAAATTTAGTTACAACCTGCAATGCAATGCATTTTAACATTGGAAGTTAGAATCATTTATCTGCATTTCTGGGTTCATTCTATGGTCTGCACCAGGCTAAAGTCACTAAGCACACATTTAGCCTTAGTCGTCATATGTGTCTTTGTTTGATATTCTTTTTTTAGTTTCCAACACCATTATTCTCCTTGCAAGTGTGGATTGATTGATTCTCATTAACATTAGGTAAAGAAAAGGCTGACAATAAGTGTTCTGCGTGAAAGAATCAGTATTCTGAATGTTCAGGAAAATGATGATGTTTTTGGAGAAGTGAGACCACTGGCTTCTAAATCAGATCTGTGAGTTTTGACTCTGCTAATGCTTTTCATGCCCCCAGTTGGTGGTAATTTTGATTTCTTAAATTTATTTCTTCCTTTTCTGTCTATAAATGCTAACTTCAGAATGTAGGGTTGGGTGGGTGTAATTGGTAATCTTTATATAAATTCATTTTCTTGGCATCCATATTTAGTAGTCCGTACCTTCTTTTTTTTTTTTTTTTTTTTGTGGGAGAGAGTTGTCTCGACTTGTGATTAAAATTTTCTCATCAGAAGACTTGTTTTAAGGAAGCAAGAATATAGTAATTCATCTCCTACAGGTAAGGGTGTTTTCACATTATATCCGAATGATTCTGAAGCCAGAAAGCAATTGCTCAAACACTGTTTAGTGGATCAGTTCCCAAAAAAAAAAAAAGATTGTTTCGTGGATCGAATAGGTTGGAGAGAATTCTGCTGTACATAGAAGTGAAGTTTTGGTCTGAATTGATACTCCTTTTTATGCTTTCAAGTTGATAGGATGGTGGATGCACCTTTTTGTTTTTGTTGGTGTCTGTAACCATGACTGAAGTTCAGTAAATTGTAAACAGTAGTTAGGGATGGTTCCATGGCATTCAAATCATTTTAGAATGGCGGGATTGTTTGTTTGTTGTAAACCATTGCTTTGTCTTTGCATTTTATTTATTTTTGGGTTTGTTGGACTGCAATTACATCATCATTGGAATTATAATCTTTTTGTCATGTGCCATTTGTAACTTGCGGTTCTCAGAGGTGGATAATGATTCTGAATTCATGTTGAAGTCTAGATGGTAACAATCCTAACTCAAACGCATGCAATAGGTTCCATAGCTGGTTTCTCTACGTTTGATAGGTTTATTGAAGGCATCAGTGAGGTTGAGTGAGGGTGGACAGAAACAGCAATACTAAAATCACAAATGACAAGAAAATCAAAGCAAAGGTTTGGATCTAGTGAAAGAGTAGAAACGAAATATTTTCAATTTCAGAAGATAAGGGGTGTTAATAAACGTATTGCTTTTGTCAAGTTTGGGGTCAGTAAATAGGTGGAGAATTAAGAAAAAACCTGTTCGATTGGTTAGATTATCTTGGCTTGGGCGTAGGCCAAATGAGGCCGACCAACAGAAGTTAAAGTACAGAAATTTATTGTCTACTTTCAGATTCTATTTTATTTTTACACAGCATTTCAGCATTGTTTATCAAATACTTAGACCATAAATAGGGAATGTAGTGTTTGTATTTGCTTTTTCCTTCTTATCGTGTTGAGGGGAGCAGCTAAGTAACCATTTACTGATGGATACCTGGAACTAGAATGAGAGCTAGCAGAGCAAGAAAGTTGCTTCAAAAGAAGGAAGAACAGAAAGCTGCTGATAAAGCTGCTGGTATTGATTTGCATAGTGATTATTCAGATGATGAATCTCTGGTAAAGTGCAACTGCTTTTAGTATGAGTTGCCTAAGAGTTATTCCATTTACTGGCAAGTTCTTGTCACTTCAGCCTGATGACCTGATATATATTCTTCTTTCGGTGGTTACAGCAAGAAATCAGAGTTTCTCCCCTGCATAATTTCTTAAAGGATGAAGCGCATCACAATCTTATTATAGATGTTTGTATTTTTTCCATCATTTATTTTGATTCATCTATGCTTTATTTTTATTTATTTGCTTGAAACTTATTTAATTTGAACTTGACAGTTTGTTTTAGAATCATTGTTAAGGAATTCCACTCTTGTTGAATAAATTCACCAGTACATTCTTTAAGCGTCTGATAGTTAGCTCTATTTTGTTTTGTTTCATAGTTGTGCAAGGCATTGCAATCGTTGCAAAGATATTCTGAAGCTCTGGAGATTATAAATCTCACGCAGAGATTGGTTTCTGATAAATTGCCTGGTGATAAGGAGGAGGAACTTCAGTCTCTTTTAGCTCGTAAGTTCTAGGCGTAGAAGACCACCCCCACACCCCTATACTTCTCTTCCTAGTTTTCTATTTCTTTTTTCCCCTCTTCTGCTATTTATTTTCTTAGGTGCCATCATGAAAACTATTCAAGTCTGCTTTTTCCATCAAAGAATAAAATTCTGCAGGCTTTTGGGGTTTAACTGAAGCTGAGTATTGTGTTTTTGTTTCCTCAGAAATATCTTTTAACGCCACAGATCCTAAACATGGTTTTGACTATGTAAGATCCGCAATTCAAAAGCAGCCACAAAGCATTGCTGGCTGGAACTGTTATTACAAAATAGCCTCAAGGTGACTGTTATTTTATATCTTTATGTAATTTTCACTACTTTGTTTACCATTTTCTGGTTTCATATGGAACATGAAACAGGATGCTGGCAAATTTGTGGAATCTGGTATAATGAAGTGGTGACAAGCAAATAGATGTACACATTCTTGATAATAATCTCAAATTGCTCCCAAATTCAAACAATCCTATTTACCATTTTCTTAATTTCATAAACAACATGAACAGCATGCTGCCAAATTTGTGGAAACTGGTATAGTAAAGTGGTGATCTACAAATAGATGCACTTATTCTTGATTATTTTCTCAAATTATCACAATCCTATAAAGTTATTGACTATAATTTAGTTTATCATAGTTTATCAAATTGCACATGCCATTGTCATATGCATTGATTGAAACTTAAATCTTGAATCTTCCTAAGCTTTTGCTTACTATAGTCTCTCTGGCATACTATCTGTGTATTCTGACTGATGTTTACTTGTCATCTAAAAAAAAAAAAAGTTCGTTCCAGTTTCATTCCTTTTGTTTTCCTTCTCCTTGCTTGTGGACCTTGGTGACCTTAACATAAACATGGTATTCATGCAGCCTGAAAACATGAAACCCCAAGCAGGAGAATGTTCATTTCTATGACCACTTTCACTTTTGTTTTCATCTTGTTGTTCATTCATGGATTTCTCATGATATCATAGATTGGGAAAGAGCTATTCAAAGCATGCCAAATTTCTACGTTATATGCGAAGCAAACACAAAAACTGCGTACCACCTATTGTCATTTCTGCTCATCAGTTTACCATGCTCAGCCATCATCAAGATGCTGCAAGAGAATACCTAGAAGCTTATAAACTGATGCCAGAATGTCCTCTAATTAATCTGTGTGTGGGTAAGGTTTTCTTCGACTTTTCTTCGACAATTTATTTATACTTGCAGTCTTATTAAGTTATACAGTGATAGATGATATGTTATGTTTATTTTCTATCTATTTTGTTTTCTTCTCCAGGAACTGCCTTGATCAACTTGACCCTTGGATTTAGACTTCAAAATAAGCACCAGTGTCTTGCACAAGGCTTAGCCTTCCTCTATAATAATTTACAGCTGACAGAGAATAGCCAGGTTGGTTCATTGTCATATGTACTTGATTTTAGTTTATGTGATTCATGCTTCTGTGGGTCAGACACCTTTGATAACTAATTGAGGTTGATTAAAATTTCTCCATGTCAATAAAAAAATTGGTATTGTAGAATCCATTGGTGAAAACGAGGTCAAAGAATGTTGAGGTTCCTGGCACAACTTTATACTGAGTATTTTTATCAAAGCATCTATGTTGCTGTATATTGGGGAAGGAAAACAAAACTGGACCTAACTTAACATTTAGCTTTCCATATGCATCCACATGTTCTTGGAAGCACAACAAATTGAAGCTCCTTTAATATGATCTTGCGCGATTATTAGTGTCCATGCAATTAAACATGATCGGTTCAATCAAATAATGGTTGATTTTTTCAAAGTTGCTTTAATTGGGTTAGTTTCCAATTAAAATCATTGACAGCCAAAATGCAAAAGCTTTAGTCATTTGATCTTGATGCTATTTCTAATTGGCCAACTACAAGCTAATGCAGCGGTTGGATTCCTGGCATCAGTTTTGTCCATGTTTGTTGGCCATTGATTCAATTATGTATCTATTGCTTGTTATATCTGTTTTTCCATCACAATGACCTAACTTTAGCCATATGCCCCTAACTCCATCAATTCCTACCTGCAGAGCTGAGCTATTGTAGAGCTTCCATTATTTTATACATATATGATCTGCTACTATGTTCTAGATTTTGTTGGGCTCTATTACCTTGCATGCATTTCAGTGATCTTTTGACTATGTATAAAAAATCAGTGACGTTTGTTGGTACATGAATATGACGCATGCCCTTGTGTTTTGGGTGGTAGGGATTATATGGAACTGAATAGTTACCAAAACTTTTATTATTCTCTCTCCCTAATAAAGCTACCTTCTGGATCGTAGGCAGTTCCACATTGACCCCTAACTGCTCAATTCATTCAGTAGAACATACATCGTCTTTCAACTATCAGCCTACTGAGAGATTATTTGGACAAATGTGCCAAGTTTTTCTTTTCATCTGCTATCATATACTTTCACTTAGCACTTTTTCTCTGAGACATGATTTTTTTGAAGTTTCTGTATTTTCTTATGTGGCTTGTATGACAAATGCTTGAATTGTTGAAAGCAACATATGGGCAATCTTGTTTCCTGTGGATTTTTGTTTGTAAAATGGCACTAAATTAATATTTCTGCTCCTTGCAGGAGGCATTATATAATATCGCCCGTGCCTATCATCATGTTGGCCTAGTTTCTTTAGCAGCTTCATATTATGAAAAGGTGCTTGCAACCTGCGAGAAGGATTACCCCATTCCGAAACTTCTGAATGAGAATTCAGAAATGGAAAATATGAAACCAGGTTATTGTGATCTGCACAGAGAAGCAGCCTATAATTTGCATTTAATATACAAAAACAGTGGAGCGTTTGATCTTGCTAGGCAGGTCTTGAAAGATCACTGCACTTTCTGACTAAATATCTTTGATCCTAACATATGGCTTTGCAAGAATTGCAGCTTATCTTATTTGTACATATAGCTCTCTGATCGAGCATTGGATTAGTAAAATTATGTAGATTATTAGATTGCTTAGATAAATTTACCATTTACCTTATTTCAATTTGTGCCCTTGTTTTTCATGAACTTCACATATTTTTTAACCTTTTTCTTTGGGGAAGATTCTTTGTGGTGCCTTCTTCAATTGAGTTTCCCAAAGTGACAGAAACTTCAGCAAATTGGGTATGCCGTTTGGAGCTAACAGCCAATTAGAAGCGTACATGTGGCAATATGCTAGAGGACAGCAGTCTTTCTGAATTTTATTTTTTTCGTTACTGTTGTATGTTTCCTCTTCTGGGCAAACAATATAGGAAAGTAAGGTTTTGCTCATTAATGCATCTGCTTCTGGTTGATTTCCTTATTTTATGCCGACTGAGACATAATGATGTTAGTTCCAATTTCTGAGTAGGAAATTTAAGGGAGTTTGGAACTCTATAAATAGGAGTAGTGTGAGAGCATAAAAATTGTTCTGCTCTTGTTTACTTGTACTTGCTGATAATGTGTGACCTGGAGGAGAAGACCTCCAATGTCTCTTTTGAGACTTCTTGTAGTGCTTCAAGCTGTGGAAATGGTGATTTTGAGGTAGTCATGTCTAAGGAGAGCAATGTCAATGAAGGAGGGTTAAGTTCTTTTGTTTCAATGCGAAGAGGATTGTCAGAGAATTATGATGGGAAATGCGAGTCCTTCGCAGACCTTTCAGAAGCGATTACAGTGAAAGATTTGGAGAAAAAAGAACACCCATTTAACCAGCGGAAAGCATCATTGAAGGCAAGAAAGATGTATGGAAGGTCCATGGCACAAATTGCTTCAATTGAAGTAGAGGGGCAGGTGAACCAACAAGAAGAACCAAAAGAAGCAGAGCAAAACCTAAACTCTTAGCAAAGTTTACTGGCCGTACACTTTGGCCAATCTTCTTGGTGTTTTTTTTTTTTTTCTAAACTGATGTTTGCCAGAGATTCAATTAGATCAATTCAGTGGATTGGAACTAGTTGCCAAACTATACTGCGGAACTAAATTCTGAATTTAATCACTGTGTTGTTCAACTATTATAAAAAAAATAAAAAAATAAAAAGGTAAAAGAAGTGCAAGTGGCTCTATTCATTCCCTGTAGCTTAATACTCATCTCCCCTGTTCACGTATTTTTTTTTACTTCTTGGTCCCTCTTTCTTTAAGAAACAAATTAATTAATCCATTTGTAATTTATCATTTACAATGCACCCTTAGAGCTTTTTTTTTCTTTTCTTTTCTTTTTTTACAAGGGTCTGAGCCAGGCTTCCCTAGCCCGGGCAAGCCTGCTAAGCTCCAATTGTTTTTTTTTTAATATATTTATGCTTATATATATATATATATATATATATATATATACGAAAAAAATAATTTTTTTTCTTCCATGTCATCATATATATTTTTAAGCCCATTGCACAATGATTTACAATGATTTAATTATTTTACTATTAATTGCATAAAATTTTTATTTTGATATATATAGTTTATTATTATTATTATTTTGTTTGATTTGAATATTTAATCAAAGTAAATGTTGGGAACACAATTAAGTGCATAAGTAATTAATTACAAATAAAAAAAACTATATGAATTTTGTTGTTTTTGTAGTAAAAATTATATCGAGCAAATCGATTTTAAAATATATTATTAGGAAAACAATTGTGAATTTTCAACCCTTTCTACACTCCATACCCATATGACAAATTGAAAAAAAAAATCTAAAAAGTTATTATAAAAAAACACTAAAAAAAATTGGAGGTGGTATTGTTCATTTACTATAGCAATGCCTAGCTTTATTTTTTTTCTTTTCTTTTTTTTTAAGGGCTGGGTTGTTGGAACTTCACTATATAATTATTCCTCTCTTTTTTGTTTAATTTCTATATGTTCTCGGACGCCAATTGTTCCCTTCCTATATAAATAATTTATTTTTATTTTTTTATCACGAAATTAGGTGTGAAAATATAAAAAAATATATATTATTTTTTTTGTTTTACGTACGGTTTGACAATAATAGAATATATATATTATATTTTTTAAAATTTTAATTTGAACATATATATCTTATTATATTAATTATTTTATTATTTAAAATTTATTTCTTCAATTGCTTGTCTCTTATTAAAAATCTCATTGAATTAATTTTTAAATTTTATATAATTTTATTTGTTAAAAATTTTGATTTTTTTTTTATATATGGCTTTTCAAATAAAAGTTTAGAACATGATTGTTTTATTTTTTAAAATATATTATTATAATTTATACGATTGATTATTTTTATGATTTTTCAATGAAAATGACGTTATTGCATATATGAATTCCGATGTGAGAGAGAGAGAGAGAGAGAGAGATAAAAGTGCATTTTAGATAATTTAACTTAATTTTTTAAAACAATAATAATCAATTAAAAAAATAATTTGGATTGGTTTTTTAAAAAAATTCACAAGTTTTATTTGGTTTTATATATATATGTATATAAAATCAAAATTTATCGAAACCAAATTTATAGTAGTTTTTATTTAAATTTATTCACTTTGATATATTCTATGCAATTTAAGTGGGTTTTTTTATATATTTTTATATACTCGAATCTTCTAAGTACGATATATATAGTTTTTTCATATATATAAACTCGATGAGGGAGGGGAGAGAGCTAAAAGTATATTTTAGATAATTTGACTTAATTTTTTTCTAAATAATAATCAATTAAAAAACATTCAGCTCAATTTTTTTAGAAAAACAATAATTAGTTAAAAAAATTTACGGGTTTTATGTGGTTATATATATATATATATATATATATATATATATATATATATATATATATATATATATAACCGGAATTTATCGAAATCAGCTTTATAGTAGTTTTTATTTAAATCTATTTACTTCGATATATTTCTTTCAATTTAGGTGGATCTTTTTTATATTTTTTATTTATTTATTTTATATACTTTAAATCTGTTTAGTATGATATATATATATATATATATATATATATATATATATATATATATATATATATATATATATATATATATATATATAGTTTTGTTAGAAATTAATTATATCCGAACATATAACACTAATTATTTGTTATTTATTTTTTTCATATTTTAAAATCTTTATTTTTAAATGAAATAATTTAATCAATGTATTGAAAGAACCTCTTAATTATTTAAATATAAATTTTTCTACTAATATTATAAATTATTTTTTTAATAAATATATATAAATCAAACAAGTTCACTAAATATATAGATTTGATTTACAATAATCTTCATAAACAAAATATTTACTCGCATCATACTATACGAATCGTTAACCCTATGTATATAATGGTTGTCTTACCGCAACGTAGCACGGGTTATCTAACTAGTAAAACAAACTCAAAGAAGTGCATGTGATACTATTCATCTACTGTAGCTACACACTCAAAGTCCTTATTTATCAAGTTTTTGTTGCATCTTGGTCCCTCATTCTTTAAGAGATAAATTAATTAGTCTCTTTGGTTGCAAAACCTTTTTTTTTTCTTTTCCATCATTTTACTATTTTTATTTTTTCTTTCACCATTTTTATAAAAAAACAAAAAAATAATTATTTGGGGAATAAATTAATTAGTCTATTTGGTTTGAAAACTAATGTTTTTGGTCCTTTTTGTCATTTTCATTTACTCGTAGCGATCTCCCTTCTTTTTTTTTTTTTTTAACACCATCCATTCTTCCGGATACAATGATATATATTAACTTATTCACTTATGCATCATTCTCCATTTTCCAATGAATAGACTCTGCAACCTTCATTGCCTTGGAGGTAATATAATTTGTTGACTAATTTATTCTCTTTTTTAACTATTAAAGTATTTGTAGGATTATTATTATAGTTAATAATTATAATATATAATCATTATATTTTACAAAAAAAAATAGTAGTGTTTTTTTGTTTTGTTTTGTTCTTTTTTAACGTCCGGCCTTCTTTTTATTTTTTATTTTTTTTTCAGTTTCTATATTTGTAGGATTATTATTATATGATCAAATATATTATTTAGGTCCTTATTTATTAGAAATATATTTTTTAAAAAATAATAAAATTATTTATACTTAATAATTATAATACATTATCATTATAGTTTACAAAAAATATCAAATAAATATTATAAAATAGTTATTTGTATTTTGATTGTGAATATGATATTTATTCGAGTGCTTTTTGGTTTTTTTTTTCTTCAAAACATCTAGCCTCCTTTTTTGTTTAGTTTCTATATTTGTGAGACTATTATTATATGGCCAAATATATTATTTAGGTCATTATTTATTAGAAATATATTTTTAAAAAATAATAAAATTATTTATAGTTAATAATTATAATATATTATCATTATATTTTACAAAAAAAAAATCAAATTATTATTATAAAATAGTTATTTGTATTTTGATTGTGAATATTGTATTTATTATACAATATAATATTATGTTATTATTTTATATTATGATATAAATAATATATTGATATATTATTTTACGAACTTGAATATATATAAAAATTGATAAGTATTTTGGTGATATCATATATTTGATAATTATACTATATAATTAAATTACTATTACATTGTATTAGTTAAATATTATTTTAAATATATTGGTATAACAATATAATATTTATTAACAAATGATTTATTTAAATATCGGATGACAGATTGTTTCCCCTTTTATATAAATAATTTATTTTTATATTTTTATCATGAAATTAGGTTTGAAAATATAAAAAAAAAATCGTTATTTTTTTTTATTTTATGTATAGTTTGACAATAATAGAATAAATATGATATTTTAAAAAAAAATTTAATTTGAACATATAAATTTGATTATATTATTTTTATTATTTAAAATATATTTTTTCAATTGTTTGTTTCTTATTAAAATTCTCATCGAATTAATTTTTAAATTTTATATGATTTTAATTTCTTATTAAAAAGATTTAGAAAGTCAATGTTTTATTTTTAAAAAATATATTATTATAATTTATACAATAAATTATTTTTATATTTTTAAATGAGTGTTTTACTTATATATATATATATATATATATATATATATATATAGAGAGAGAGAGAGAGAGAGAGAGAGAGAGAGAGAGAGAGAGAGAGAGAGCTAAAAGTATGTTTTAGATGGTTTGACTCAATTTTTTTTTTTAAATAATAACGAGTTCAAAAAAATTCACAAGTTTTATTTTCTTTTTTATATATATTTATTCAAAATTCATCAAAACCAATTTTGTAATAGTTTTTATTTTAATCTATTGGCTTTAATATATTTCTACAATTTAGGTGGTTTTTTTCTATTTATTTTATATACTCTAAATCTGCTAACCTATGTATGTAATGGTTGTCTACCCGTAACGTAGCACGGGTATCTAACTAGTAGCTTTCTAATTGATTTATTTGGTGATATTCTATTAACTTATAATGCTTGTTGGATTCTATGTTTCCTGTTTAGGCTTTTTGTACTTGTAATAAGCATAGAAAACTTTAAAGGCTTATTATTTTAGTAGTCCAATATCTAGTGGCCCAATAAATTAAACCTACTTGGGTAGCTCATAGTAGTACTCGTTGGTTCGGACTTTCTTGATCGAATAGAATTTTATATATATATATATATATATATATGGTAGTTTTCATGCTTTTATATTTAACTATTCAAGAGGCAATGTATTAGAATTTGCCACTTTAAAGTTGTTTGTTGTGGTGCATATATATATATATATATCTGTGTGTGTGTGTGTGTGTGTGTGTGTGGTTTTCATAGCAATTTAGACTTTGAGTAATGGTGAATTACCTTGATTTTTTATTTTTTATTTTTTAAAAAAATCTCCATCCT